CCCTGTGCGCTGGCTGGGCCCCCCCGGGCCCCCCTGCCTCTCCGGTGACGCCGGCTCACGGCACGGCTCCTGCAGGAACAACCTCTCCTGGAGACCGAGATCCCTCTTCCTCTACTGAGCAAAGCTGAAGGTGACCAAGAGCTCATGAAGGGGGAAGGACCGGCTGGCAGAAAGCCTGTTCATTTCAAAAACAGCTGCTCTGCACATCCTCTCCACACCATCCTCACTGTGGCCCAGAGCCTCCAGGAAAAGCAGGGTGAAACAGGCTGTGCCCCCAGATCAGACTGTTCGTGGGCTCCTCATGAGCAGTTCCAGGCATAACCCTTGTTTTCCCACCAAAAAACCTCCCTGGGGCCAGAGGGCGGAGGTGGGGGAGCAGAGGCACTTTTACTGCAATAACAATGCTGGAAGAAGCCTTGCCGCTACGTAGCTCAGGTGTGGGGGGCTGCCCCCGGCAAAGGGAACATTGCAAAACTGGGGGAGCTGGAAGCAGCATTGACCCCTTGCAGGAGCAGCCCAGCCCCAGCTTGTCTCAATCCCCCCTGAAGAGAGGACACACAAGCAGAAACCACACCAAAACACGGCACAAGAGGGACACCGCAAGCCAGCCTCCCGCCTGTCTGTCTGTCCTCCTTAGACTTTGGGGCAGGGATTTTATCGGCCTGAACAGGCAGAGCTTGGCAGAAGAGGCTCAGGTCTCGGCCAGCCTGAGCAGTGCCCCGTGAGCCCGACCGCGATGTTTGACTCACGGACACTCCCCTGCACGGCGCCTCGGCTTCGAGGCCACCGCGAGCGAGGAAGTCTGAGTCAATGCAAATCAGCACGGCAAGAAAGGGGAGCGAGAGGAGGCTGCGCGATGAAAATGGCAGCGGTGGCAGCACAGCTGGTCCCCGGCCCTCCCTCCCTCGAATCACAGGGTGCGCAGGGAAGGGGAAGCTTTTCCAGGAGGTGGGAGAAAGACGAGGGCTAAACTTGCTCTCCATGGGGGATTTCCACTGGGGTCGGTGGCACAGAGCTTCCACCCAAGCAGGGCAGACAGCTTTGGGCAGCCAGATCAGGCCCCCGTGCCACACACTCAGCCACGCCGCCCGACACGAGTCCCCAGGCCAGGTGGCTCGGGAGCCTCGGAGGAACAAGCAGCAAGCCCAGCCCTGAGCTGGGGAAGGGACACAGCAGGCATCCGGGAAGACGCTGGCACCCCACTCCAGCCCATCCTTCGCTGGTCCCTCTCGCTGGCGTGCACGGTACCTGCCTGGTGAGGGGATGCTGCAGCACTGGCAGCGCAGCAGGACCTGTCCCCCAGCCCGAGGCCTTCTCCCTGTCCCTCTGTTCTGGCCCCAGCCTACAATACACCATTGTGTGCCCGGGACTGGAGCAGGGCAGGGGCCTGGCAAGGGCTGGCCGCTGCCTGCAGGCCAATTTCTGAGCTCACCAGCCTTTGGAAGCAGCTCCTGAGCTCCAGCCTCCTTGGGACACTGCTGCAAAGCCATTCCCCAAGAGCAAGGGCGGAAGAGAGCAGATGCCAGCCCCCTTTCCCACCCTCAGACCCAGGCAAGCCCAGAGGCAGGCAGCAGTTTGGCTTTTCTGGCTGCTGAGCCGAAAGGTGGTCACCAAAAGCTGCGCATGAGGCGAGCCGAGAGGACAAGATGTCCCGAGGAACACGCCTGCGTCCCAGGCCGGGGCTCGCTGCACGCCGCAGGCTGGCCCTGCTCCCCAGGGAGCCACTGGCACGTTACTACGGAGAGAAAACACAACAGAGCACAACAGAGCAGAACAGACAGCGCTGAGCGGAGACGGCGCAACCGTCACCGAGGGGCCTCGTGTGCAGGAGCGGTGGCGGGGGGGGGCATGCTGGTCTGAAGGAGTTTCCTGTTTAGGAGCTCTCTCGGGCAACTGTGGCATGGGAGAAGAGCAGGGACATCTTGATGCAGTGTCCGGTGGCCAGATCCCTTCGTCCCCACTGCAAATGTGGCAGATTTCCCCTCCCAGAGGGCATCCGCCCCTGCAGGGAGGAAAGCACCAAGGCGTGACCTGCTCCGGTTTTCCTAATATGCCCCAGCCCAAACTCCTGACAAGGAGCTCCCGAGACTCAGAGCAGCAGCAGGGAAAGCAGGAGCTTCCAGCCACTGGATCCTGCCCAAACCCAGCTGGGGAGGAGCAGGGAAGTTTGGAAATGTGGCTCGCTGCACCCACGCACTGAATGAGCGGGAGCGTGGGTGTGCAAAATGCCCCGTGAGTCCCCGAGGAACCGGAGCCGCTCGGTGCCTGCAGTGAGCCCATCGCCTGGCTGGGAGCCTGATGTGTTTGATGGGCATCCAGAAGTCAAAGAGGCCGCTGCTAAAAATTCTGTTCCCCTGCCCCAAGCAGCTGTGCCAGCAGCTGGACTGACCGGCCAACTACTTTGGGGTGGGGGTCCCTTTTGGTTTCTTGTTTCAACCGGAAATTTTATCTCGGATCCAAAAAAAACCTCAACCACCCCAACTATTCCTGACAAAACTGGCCTATAGGATTCCCATGGAAGTTTTTAGCTTTGACAAATTGCTGTTTCCCGACACAGTCACTGCATCGGGAGGTTTCTGACTAGCTCGTGCTGTTAGTCACATCTTAACCGATTACAAATCCAGTTGGGCTTCTTTCTGCCCTCCTCTCAGAGGGATAACGAAGCTCGGTGAGGTCTGGTTATAATCAGCTTTACTTTCAGCTTCTCAATGCTTCTGCATTTGGGATGCAAGGAAAAAGGGAATGTGCTAAAGTGAAGCAGCTGTTTCTACCAGAGTTTTAGGAGCCATGTGCAGCAATGAGGGCTCAGAGAAGGGAAAGACAGAGCAACCCAGAAAACACCAAACGCAATTCATCTTTCTTGTGTACAAGGAGGGAGTCCCGACACGAGGTTACACGGGAGCGCAGAGGCGAGCACAGGACGATGCTGAAAACAAAACACTTTCACAACCAGGTCACAGCTTTCACAGCATCTCAGCCCTCTCGCTACAGGGATTTCCATAAGAACATCACCACAAAAAGTTTCCTACCCAACATCAAGCTACCGTAAACCACCAAGCCTCAGCCCAGAGACCAGCTGTTACTGGAGATGAGCAAAGCCTGGCTCCTTGGTCCACAAGCCCGATGCACCTGTGTTTTCCCAGAGCATCACCCACACTCAGCAGCTAGCTGAAATTAGGACCGAGGCACCGGAGACGAGCTGACCCCAAGGCCCACCGGTGAGCTGCAGGTTCACCCCACGGGCTGCTGTTTATCTCTGCCACAGTGCAGTAACACAGGGCAAAAGCCCTCTCAGAGGGACACGTGGGTCAAAAAAAAAAAATAAAATCTGTGCCTGACCCTTTTCTTGTCATTCCCCTGCGGGCAGCAGGGAAAACCTGCCAGAGCATTCGGCACCACTGATGCTCATCGCGCCAGAAGCGGGAGCGACGGAGAGAGCAATGCAGGAAATAAACACCCGGCCACGCACTCCCACAGCGATGGTTATCTTCTGACCACCTTCCAGGGCTTGGCTGTTAGCAGCAAATGCCTGACAAGGAGTAGGAGAGATGGATCACTCGCCCCGCGTGGATGTTAGTCAGCCCAGTGGCAGGAATACCGTCACGCCAGGACACTGCTCAGCTCGGCTTCCTTACGTGGCCGTTGCTGAACTCACAAAAGAAAAAAGAAAAAAAAAGGGGTTCTGTCTCCCTGAACACCCAGGAAAAAAAAAAAAACCCAACCCTGATCAGGGGAATCCACCTACAACCCTGGGGAAGGCCGTGGCTTCCCTGAGCCGCAGCGGTCCCCTCTCAAAGCAGGAGGTTTTGTGCTGATTTACACACCATGGGTCCCACGGTTGGTTCTCTCACTCTCAAAGTTCATCCTCTCCAGATCCAAATCATCCCCACTCATCCGCCAAACGCTACTCGGCTCACAGTGTTTTATTTGGCAAACCACAATAAAAAGATTAGATTTCCCTAATAACTGTTGGTCCTTAGCTCTCTCGACTGTGCACATATGAACTTCGCCGACAGCGACAACGCTGCGTTACAGCTCTCGCGATGGCAGCGGGGACCCGTCACCTGGGACCTCGTTTGATCTCCCTCTGTTTGAAATAAGCAGTTTGTGAAATTGTTTTCTCCGCACCCAGCACACACGTCTCCTCCTTCCTTGCTCCACCACTGCTGAGCCTCCAGCCTGCACTTTGTAATTAGTGGTTGAAATGAAAATGGGGTGGGGGGGGGAAAGAAGAGTCTAAAATAAAACCCAGACTATTCCTGTTGTATTGAGAATGCCTCCTACAGTCTGTATCATTTCTGAATTACCCTTTTTTTTTTAAAAAAAAAAAGTCAACTACCCTGCAATTTCTGTAGGGCAGCAAGATGGCCTGTTTTCCGCAGAATGGTTCTCGTCACGACAGACAGGGAAGAAACCCTGGGATCGTTGAATATTTGGGATTAACCATTAGGAGAATGGCTGGAAAGGAACCAGCGTGCCATAAAGAGGTGCCAGTGGCACCTACCTTTCCACTTGCTCTGCCTGACACACGACAGATCTGTTGGGGGGTCCCCACGTCACCAGATCTGTGCAGCCCCAGTCCCACAGATGCTCACGGCAGCTGGGCTCTGTGCTGTGGATCCAACCGAACTGGGTAGGATCCCACAGCACCAAGGGTCCCGTGGGCCATTCGCACCCCCGAGGGGCTTCCCTGCAGGAATCCCACCAGAAAAGCCACCGAGCAACTCACACACCAAGGAACGTGTCCCCCCCCCAGCAACCTGGCCTGGCTCCTCCATAGGCTGAGCCCCCCCAAGACCTGCCCAGGCCAGCTCCACACCCCAACCCCAACCAAGGGAGCCAAAGACCCCCAGATTTCCTGGGCCAAGCTTTTAGGGGGGCAGAAAGGAGGGGAGGCACCAGCGGGAACCAGGGGTGCTGGGGAAGGTACAAGGGGGGCTCAGGAGAGTATTGGGGGGCACAGTGGCAAGGCGGGGTATACAAGGG